GGGGTTCACGTTATACCTGCAGTCCCCATGGTAGTTCCTGTTTCGGGTTAAGAATGCTTCCAGGTTGCAGGGCACCAAGAATCATTAGGGAACCTCGCGGAACCATGCCGAGAAGATATTCAGGGGATGACTAAGATACATACCCTAGGCCCTAATTCCTTTCCCCTGACCTGAACCCCAAACCCTAACCTCGGCTCCCCCACTTGAGGATCCCATTACAGATGTCTTGCCATTGGTGTCTCTAGGGTTTAGGGGTTTAGGGTTTAGGGGTTTAGCGGCTTAGGGTTTCGAAGCCACACCTCTTTCCCTTTGCCCGCAGGTGCAAGGGCGAGCGACCCCGAAGATGAGAAGCGATTGAGATCTGCTCTGCAGGAGACGGTTGCTTAAAGGCTCATGGGACTTAGTAAGGTTATAAGTAGGATATAAGTAGGCTAACCCCACTTAGGGGACTTATAACCCCAATTATAACCTACTTACTAAGTCCCATGATCCTCTAAGTGGTGGGATAAGGGATGAGAAGGGTTTAGAGCCTATAGAGACCAGGCTTTCGGGTTTAGAGCCAAACGAGCCGAGGCTTTCGGGTTTAGAGTTTAGAGCCCACGCTTTCTGGTTTAGAGTTTGGAGCCCAGGCTTATGGGTTTATGAGTTTCGAGCCCAAGCTTTTGGGTTTAGTGGGTTTTGGAGTACCATACGTCATGTTGGTTGTGAGCTGTTCCTTCAAGGAACCATTATGCCATTATGCAGTACAAGTGCACACTTGTTTGTCCTTGGTTAATTACTGTAAATTACAGTAAAGCCCAGGTTAAGGATTGAGGGTCGAGGGGTTTAGACTTTATGAGGTTTCTTGGGGTATAAAGCTTCGTAGTATCGTAGGAGAAGAACTGCATCAGGTTTTACTAGGGTTTGACGTTTAGCCGTGTAGAACCCGATTTCGGTTGAAGTAAGGGTTTGGGGCTTAGCGTTTAGGGTTCAGCCGGGGTCCTACAGTACTACATCCAAACTACGTTTTCCCGAGCCCTCGATTTCCTAGACGCATCAGAAGGAGGAGGGCGGATTCGATTCCGTCAATACGCAGCTGTCCAGCTCTTTCCTGGCCTGGCTGGAGAAGTCAGCGCAAGAAATGCTACCTGCTGTTTTTTTTTGAATTTTGGATGTTTGATCTGCAGCTTCGGAATGCTGATCAACTTGAAATTGTCTTTCGGTTTTTGGGCAATCGTCTGTCAGGTCCTGATTTTGCATTATAGTCATTACTTCACAATCCACGAACCATGGAATCGGACGTTGCATCAGGGCCTTGAGTGAAGGGTCAAGGGCTTAATGTTGGTTGCGGCGAGATTGTGAGGCGCGTGCTTCAAGGTTCGAAATAGTATGCCGTTATGTCAGACGTGGCCTGAGTTTTAAAATACGCGCTCCAAACCTTGTCCTGCAATTCCGGTCCCAACTCCTCTTTTTTGAAAGTTCGATGTTGGGAATAGAACAGTTCAAAGCTTAGCAGTCGAATGTAATGGCCGAAAAGCAAAACGTTTCGGATTGGAGCTTGGGAGGATGAGGTTTAGCGGCTCAGCACACGGCATAGCTCCCGGCGAAACAAAGCGAACATAAGGCACAAATTCCGAAATTGAAAGTAAGGCATACCGCAGGTATACATAAACCCTAAATCTAAATCCCGAACGACAAGCCACAGTAGCCTTACTAAGTCCAAGAACCAAGTTCCTCCAGGATCCCGGTTCCTACCCCCTAGCAAAAGCACAAAACCCCAGAGCTGTCGAAGAGTCGATGCCTCAGCAAAAGAAGTACACATCCAGACACAACCCTACGCCCCAAAGCCCTGAACCTTCAATCACGCAAGCTTAGAAACCCAAACCCCCGTCCCCAAAGAAGCAAAACAAACACGCTAGAGCCTCCGCGGTTTCCGTGGGCAGTCTCCAGAAATTCTCGACGGGGTCCGTTGCTCACCTCACGGCCCACAGCAAGATGAGGTTTGGAATTTGGGTTTTGGGATCTCGAGAAAGACGACCCAAGACCTTCGAAGGATTAAAGTATAAATCTCATACTCGCGATGAGGGGGCGACTGCAAAACATACGTCGTCAGAGCTTTCGGGCTTGGGGGCTCAGGCCTAGGGTTTTATAAGGGTAAGCGTTGAGGGGTTTGGGGTCTAGGATCTATCCCTACCCGTCAACGTTCCCATAGAAGCCAGACCTACTTTGGGACGCAATGTCTTGGACGCTGCTGCCAAAACACGTGCCTAACCCTGCCTCATGGGTTCACTCCTTCTCAAAAGATGCCGGGTGCGCCTACGCCACATGTCGCCATATCCAAATAGCCGTGATGTGAGGACTGCCTGAAAGATGGGATATTTGTGAACCGACGCCGATAGCCCGCCCCCAAAACCCAAACCTTAAAAGCTCCAGACGCCTCAAGCCCTAAAGCCCTAAACCCTAAACCCCTACACACCAAACCCCTAAAACTTAACCCCTCAACCCCTAACTTCTAAACCCAAAACCCTGAACTTTAAACCTCGAAACCCCTGACCCGTAAACCCTTAAAGCCCTAATTCCTAAACCGGCCTGTCAGCTTAACCCAGGCTTCGACGCGAGAATGCTACGGAGCTAGTTCTTCCGGACGACATTTGCATCACCGTCCCTGGACCGATATAGCATATTCTTAGGCCTTTAAGTGCTTGTTTTAGAGACTATATACTAAGTAAATAGTATATGAGTATATGGAGCAGTAACCCTAAACCCATATAGAGCTCTTAAGTACCCTTAAAGGCACTCCTACAGGAACGTCATGGGTACATGGACCATATACAACTCAACATGGACTGTCCGGGCTTAACCCACACATCACCCCGAAGCCCTGAACCCCCCAATTAGGCCCTAAACCCTAATCCCTGGACCCAAAACCTCTTGCACATCCGAGGTGCATGAAGATTTCGTTTCCGTCTGACGTCATGAAGTTCTCGTGATACCCTTACCACGGAGAGGCACTGAGAAGAGAGGTGGAGACTTCGTTGTTCAAGAACATTCGGGACGGCACACTGCGTAATTCACATGCGTGAATCATTATACACTCTGCTCAGGAAGCAGTTTGCAGCTGCCCTGCTGTACGGAGCTGGCGCTCAGCTCTGGTCTGTTAAGGAAGTCCATGAGTTTATGGTTTAGATTAGGGTGTTGGGACTCCCTCAACGCTAAACACTGAACTCTACCAGCGCCCCGCAAGTAGTCTTTAAAGGGCTTTTAGTATTTCTCGTTAAGAGGTAGTAAGGGACTACAATGAAGGGTAGTTCGGGGTCTAGGTAAACTGTAGGGTTTAGGTTTTAAACCTTAGGGTGCAGGGTTTAGGGATAGCGTAGCATCGGGAAGCCCATTCTTCAATCCTTGTGTTTGTCGTGTCTCAGCTGCACTCTTCGATCTTTAGGATTCGGGGGTTTAGGGATTTATGGGTTTAGGGTTTAGGGTTCTGGGTCTCGGAGCCACATGAATCATGGACTTCCGTGCGGTTAATGCTCAACCTGCATGTCAACTAATTACCTGTGATTGCCTCGACTGGCCTCTTTTCCGAGCATGGCATGTGTGTGCTCAAGCAAACTGCCGTGCTCTTAGGCTTACACCACAAAACGAACCCTGCGAATCCTGAACCTCAATGCTTGGAGCGCTAAGCCCTAAACCTTAAACCCTAAATCGGTAACTTCACCAAATGCTATGACGCCCCAACCACTGGCTCCCCCTGGTAAGGCATTCTTGCTGCTAAACCAGTTGGAAAAGAGCCCTCAAAGAAAAAGAGCGTACGTCTGCACAGCATGAGTACAGACATGCCACTGGCTTCCGGAGGACAGGAGATCAGCTCTAGAGCTGCCCCAGTGGGGTTTTCGGACTCCACCAATTCAATGCTGAGGGTTGAGTTATGGCCCGTGGGGCTTGGGCTTTATACTAGTAGAGTTGGTAACCCTTGATCATTTGATCTCTCTGGGGTATTATTATATATGGGAGTTTCCGAAAAGTAAGTAGGGGTACCTTACTTTTTTTGGACCCTGATTATCAGGATCCTACTATTTATGGTACTATATTAGGATCCCCCCATTTTCGGAAACTCCCTATATGCTCAGAAAGGTTAGCCGGGTTTAGGAGTCGGGTTTCAAGGATTGGGAGTTATGCAACGAATGAGAGATACGATCAGATCGCAAAGTGCGCCGCCTAAAAAGTTAGAGCACCAGAATCCTCGAGCACACACAACACAGCCGGGTTTCGAGTTTCGAGTTCAGGGGGTCCGGGATTGTGAAGTTTCTGTGCTTGAGGGCTTGTGAGTGTCAGCGTTTACCCTACCAAATCGAGCCCAGTGGTTTGTATAATGGCTTTCTTTAACTACCTGTCTTGACAGGTCGGTCCATGTGCTTAGCCTTAAACTAAATAGATGCGTCGTTCTCTAAGCCAAATCCCTAAACCCTAAACCCTAAGCATCCTAGCCACAAGAAATGTTAACCCAACAAGTCGCCGAGAGACCGTTGTCTGCAACCCTTCAACCCTCAAACATACTCCAAGCTGGAAGCCCGAAGCTTGCACAAAACCCCGAAATCTCAAAGCCCAAACCCTAAGGGTCTATGCTCAAAACAACGCATCGAGACAGGATGGCAGAAAGAGACGCCGGCTTGTCTGAAGCTTCGAAGAGTTATTTGATGAAACTTAAGCAGTAAACCCGTTGCTTTCAAGCCGTTTTCATTCGAAGCTCCTGTGCTGCTGCAGCCGCTTGGCTGGCCGCCTATACGGATGCCATGATAGCTGTTGGGTTGAGGTTGGGTTCAGGGTTTACGTTTTAGGTTTAGGTTGAGGTTGGGTTCAGGGATTTTGCGAGTTTAACATCGAACATGGCCTTGCTGTAGCATGAAGCAAGAAGACGTCATAAAGTAATAAGCGCACATCGTCAGGCTGGAAGATTCCGTAAATCTGCAAGCCCCAGATATGTTCAGCTAGGTTGGTAGTGAGGGCTCCCCTTCCTCCACATGTGGAGCTGGGTGCTGCGACTCTGCTGCTGGCAGGCCAGATCCCCATCGCCTACACTGCCGTTTTGAGACCCTGTAAACTCCGTGAGCCATAGACCGTAACTAATCAGCCCCATACCTCGGGTACGGCCCCCCCCTCAGTAACAGTTGGATAATATTCATAATATATATATATATATATATATATATATATATATATATATATATGGCCCTTAATAGTAGCCCTATTATAGACTGCTACTGTATGGGGGCCGTACCCAACCCATACCTATACACCCGCCAAAACCCGAACCCAAGCTTTCTCGGTGGCCTGCCCTTTCTTTTCGGATGCCTAGCATGAGTCAAGAACATCCTAGGAACTTTGAATTCTAAACCCACAGGCCATGCCCTGGACCCGAAATTATGAACCTTAAGCACAAAGTCCTTCAAGCCTTAAACACGAAACCCTAAAAAGTTAAATACCCCACACCCCACACCTGTCGGGACAGGCGCTTGGACGACGAAGTTTCCTGGAGAGGCTCTCTACAAAAGCAACGACTGCGATTGGTGCTCTAGGATGTGATTCAGGGCCTGACGTGTAGACGAATATCGTTGTGGGGCATGCTTCTTGGAAGTATGAATAGAAACACTGAGGAATCTTCAGGCTTCCATCACATTTTAGATTATCCTCGGGATGGGGGGCTAGGGCGTACGGTTTCGGGGTTTGGGATGTTTTGGCCTGCTGGGGTGTACTGATTTCAGGGCATGTTGTGGCTCGGAAGCTCTTCGGGGAAGAAGAGGCTGTGTATTGAACAAAATTGCGAGAAGGGATATTGTGTTTAGGCTCAATAAGCCTAAACTCTAGACCCAAAATCCTAAACCCTAAACCCTAAGGCTTTAATTTTGGTTTAGGGGGGTTTTAGCTTGAAAGACTCGACTTCGCTTTGCTGCCGATCTTTGGCAGGTCGCAACTTCGAGACGCCCTGGTGACCTGGGAAAGGAATGCGTCCGCGAGGTGGGATTAATAAATACTAATAATTATTAGTAATTATTAATAATTATTAATATTTATTAATTATTACTAATAATTATTAGTAAATACAAATAATTATTAACAGTTACTATAATAATCATCAATAATTACTAATATAGTAGTTGTATAAACTGGGGCCTTATATACTCTTTAGAACGAGGTTCTGTGGGTATACACTTAGATTGAAGAACCTTAAGGAACAGTCTTACAACTCTTCCGACCCCTATATCACAACTTCGACTAGTTGAGCAAATCCTTGATCCCAATTTCTGCTCACTGATGCATGCGAATCCGCTTGCGGACCATACGGACCTATCATTATCTCAGAACAGAAGCCCTAAACCCTGCGAACCCTAAACCCCGAAACCCTAGGAATTCTCATCCAAAGCCAGGTTTCGGGGAGTTTTTGGGACGATAGGGGCGTAGGAGCCTGAGTAACTTATACTGGGGTTTCGGGTTTGAGTGGTGCATAGCCTAGTTGTGCAGGAACAGGGTAGGTATGGGACGTGGAGTTCCTATGTGAACCCAACGTCACAACCCCTCCGCGCAGGACAGAGTTGACCAAAGACTCTTCGTCCTTGTTGCGACAGGCTGTTTTTGCGAGTTGGGGTTGAGGGTCAGGGTCTGGGGTTAGGGCGCTTTTAGGGTTTATGATGTTCCTCTGAACTTGGTACGGACATTTTAGCTTCGCTCACGCCAAGCCTGAAGTTTTCCTTGTGGCTAGCGCCATGGGTCGCTGTCTCGGGGGGGTGCGGGGTGTGCTCGCCCGCAGCTAAGGACTTTGGCAACATCTCAGAATGGGACATCTCTGCGATTTCCAGCATGAGTGGCTGCTTAGATGGGGAAAGTTCATTTTGCTTGGTTTGGGCTATGTCGATACTTACAGCCTGTACCTGCATCTATATCTATATCGCGCTGTCTAGATCACCTGCACCTTGCCCCCCGAAAAAGCACCGAACTTGTATATCAACATCAGCCACCACGCAGTCAAAGCAGCACCACCAGAAGAACAGAGAGCAGCCCAACACAGCGGGAACCAACAGAAACAGAATGCATAGACCCCCCAACACCCTCTAATATACCCCAAATACCCACCGAAACTAAACCATAGGCCCCTAAACCCTAAACCCCTAAACCGTAGACCCTAAGCCTCAAAAGAGAACCTGCCGCGCCGAGGCCTCTTCGCTGGCCTGGAGAACTTCAACGAGGATGTGACGGCTTGGCAGACGGCGCAAGTGATCGATATGACTCCCAGTCGAAGGTTTTTGGGGCTTTAGGGCCGCTTAGGGCGTTGTATGACCCCCAGTCGAAGGCTTTTATGGGGGTGTCCTTCAATGGGGAGGTCTACGAATCACGATATGAATCCCAGTCGAAGGTTTTTTGGGGGTTTAGGGCCTGCTAGGGTCGTTAAAAGGGCTGGGTTACGGGGTCCTAGGGTTTGAGTAGTCCTCTATCTACCTATAGTCTCCATTGTAGTTCCTTTTTTTGGTTTAACCAATCTTATATTAAGGATGCTAACAACCCTAAACCCTAAACCCTAAACCCTAAACCCTAAACCGGGTAACCCCCAAAAAGGAACTACACCGGAGACTATAGGTATAGACCCTCTGGGGTTTCGGGATTTAGAGGAGGTTCCGGGGGCTTCCTTTGGGGAAGTCAGGGGTTAGGGATTTGGGGCTTACCTGTGAATGTTTAGGGTTTAGGGTTTAGGGTTTAGGGTTCTGAATGCAAGAGCCTACCGTTTGGTGGGGTATGTGATGGATCACAGCCTACTATTCTGTACCGTAAGGTTTAGGGCTGCAGGTGTGGTTCAGAGCTGAGGGGCTTAGAATCTTTGGGTCCCCGGGTTTAGGTGGGCTTAGGGATTTGGATAGACACCGTCGAACAAACCCAAGACCCAAAACCCTACTTAGAGGATCATGGGACTTAGTAACTAGGGTTAAAAGTAGGTTATAATTAGGACAACCCCACTTAGGGGACTTATAGCCCTAAAAATAACCTACTTACTAAGTCCCATGATCCTTTAAGTAAAAAGTAAGCCCTATAGACCCCTTTAAGGAACCCTATAGATCCCTTTAAGGAACCCTACTTACTAAGTCCCATGATCCTCAAAGTAAACCCTAAATCCTAAACTGTCAAACTAAACAAAGCTGAGCGCTCCTTAAGGGTGCTGCTGCACAGGGCTCCTTATATGAATCCTGCTTTATCGGGGTTATAGAGCCAGGGTTTCTTAATCAGTTTCCTACATTATCCCGAAAGCCTGAACCATAAACCATAACTCAGAGGGTCCAAGTACGCCCTATCGTAGGACTTTAGGGCCTGTTTAGGTAGCAAAAACCATAAATAAGGACTACTTGGACCCTCAGGGTAACCATAAATCCTGAGCCGCAAAAGCCCTAAACCCTGTAGGCCCTAAACCCAAAGTGAAACAAACTTTACAAAGCAGAGCCGAGGAGCTTCGTCTTCGCAGGCGCTGTCGCTGGGGGAACGGCTGGAGTTTGGGCTTTTGGGTTCCTGTCTCGAAGGGTCCAAGGTAGGTATACAGTACAATGTAGGGTGTCCATATTAGGAATTTCAATTATGATTTAGGGGAAGTAGCTCCCCTGACAATACCCAGGACCCTTTGGGTGTAGAAAGGGTTCCTTTAGGGGTGACTGGGGTTGAGGGGTTTAGGGTTTAGGGGGGTTCCGAGGTTAGGGCTTACTCTTGCACTCCCTACGGATCGGAGGACTCATATATTAAGGCTTTTGGGCCCAAACACCGTACTCTTGAAGGCTTTTGGGCTCTTTAGATGCCCAGGGACTTGGGGTTGAGGATGTTTGGGAATATGGGGGGGTTCGGCTTCAGGGGCTTTTTTAGGGGCTCTTGGTGTGCAGGAACTGGGTTCTGGGTTTAGGGGGACTTGTCACCAAGGCCTGTTAAGTCAGGATTGTCGTACCGTAAATATTCCTTGAGCTGTTATTCCCACGATTAAGAGTAGAATACTTGGTTCTGCTTTCTTGTCTGTCTCCTTTCGCAACCCGCAAGTTGAAAGATTACGCTTGTTACTATCATATTGTGCACGCGCTTCACAGATGGTGATCATCATGATGCTTGCTCTGAACCTGTAAGGAACTCTCAGAAGGGAATCCTCGCTGAACCGCGGATTGCCGAAGGTTTTGCGCTGAGTTTCTGGTTCAGGGTTTGGTGTTTAGGGCTCCGTGTGGTGCATTCTGCGACCTTCGAAACGGCCTTACTTGCTTAATCTTGAGTCTGGAAGCACTCTACACCCCCGACAGTCCTGAAATCCGAACAGACCGCTAGATCGCGTGACGCCCTCGCGAACAAACTAAACCCGGTCTGTTATAGAAGCCCCAGACACCTGGGAGTTCGTGTCAAAGTATACTGTCGCGTTTACGAGCATGTGTGTATTATGTCTGTGTATGCTCATGTATGCATGCATTCGTGCAGCTATGCATGCATCTACAGTTGAATACGTGTCTATGTGCGTATATATATCTATATACACTATATATGTTCGTGTGTGTGTACACCTTTATGCATAGTTATGTATATAACTGCATGCATGTGTGTATGTATATATATATATATATATGTGATATAAGATGTGTGTACATATATATATATATATATATATATATATACATATATATATATATATATATGTAGGCCTCTATCTTTTCATGTTTGTTTATAAACTTCTCTCCTCTCTCCAATACTTCGCCCCGTAAGCTGCCAGTACAGGTGCCTCGTCCTTCAATCGATCTCTCAGTTCATGGTCCACCTCGAAGGACTCTCGGCTTATGTGGGTGCACATGTATTCTTATATATATATATATATATGTATATACATATATATATATATACACACATACATACATACATACATACATACATATGCAAATAGATAAAAATTGTTGAATGTACATATAGGTAGGTATAGAGATGTAACAAGTTTATCTCTGGCACTAGTAGTGTTCTTCACCAGAGAAATGCAGTACACATGTGTATACATCGCTTTATAAGTGCACTATAGACATATATATATATATATATAGTATTACGTATATGCATGTGCACACAGCCTTACATACATATCTGTATGTGCTCATCGAATTTTCTCATAACAGTCATATCATTAAATACGTATGTAGGTATGCATACATGTACGTATGGATGGTTGTATGTATGCATGGATGTATGCATGTCTGTAGGCACGTGCAGGTAGGGATGCATATGTATATATACATATGTGCATATACACACGTATACACCGAGCTTTAGGGGAGCTTTAGGGTTTGGGGTTCTTGGGATGTATCGGCGGGGGGGGGGGGATGATTTCCGGGTAGCAAATTGTGGCGTCCTCGAGCTGAGAATCCCGCATTTCGGGATCTGAATTGGGGCGCCTGGTGTTCTGAAACTCCCCTCTGGGCTACAGTCCATATTACGGATAGTCAGAAGGGCTAGATTGCAGTGGGACATACGATTCTACAGAGTGATCAATCATATAGTTAGGCCTGTTTTAGGACCCTTCAGACGGAACGCCGTGGGATTGGCAGCCGGCCATGTCGCTTTAGGGTTGGGTTGCTGGGTTTCGGATTTTCAAGGGTGCAGGGAATCCATGTGCAGTGCATACCCCAAAGCCCGAAGCCCTGTAAACCCTCAACCTCAAACCTTTAACCCCTGAGCCCTACTAGTAGAACTTTGCAAGTTCGAGTAGAGTTCCTTAGGGTGTGTGTATATATATATAAGTACATATGTATGACTGTATATAGAAAAACTCTACAACCCTAAACCCTGAATAGTCCCTTTCTAGTATAAGATGCCCGATACACCCTGGTCTACTTATTCAGGAACCTAAATTACCAAGGTGATCACAATGCGAGCCATGTTCTACAATGCCACGGCATTCAATCAGCCGCTGACATCATGGGTGACCACAGCTGTGTTAGATACTTGCCTTGCAAGGTGAGGCATGTCACAGGACCTCAACCATATGATTCGTAGGGTACAAGTAGACACCATGCCTGACAGTAGGGAGAAGGGGTATGACTTCTGGTTGTGAACTTTTAGTTCAAGCCGCGGTCTTTGGGCTTCACTGTTCCACTCATGGCTCCAGTGTTTGGCCGGGGTGCTGCGTCATTTCGCGCTTCAAAGTTGCAGATGTCGGACAGCTTTTTCGGTCTTACAAGATTGCTGGCGATGCGGGCCATGGTTCTGCTTCTGTGGGGCGTTAGTGGCAGACCGATTAGTGGTAATTAGCAGTCACAATAGCAGTAGGAGCTGTACCAAGTAACGGCTCCACATTGACACAGGGCCCTAAGTACCTAAATATGGGGGGATACTTACCCAAGCCAGAATAGTAGTTCCTTCTATAGAAACCTTACGTTGTGCCATGTAGTAGGTACTTTCGACCCTTTGGCGTTCCAAGTGTTCCTGCCTTGACGGAGTCACCAGGATATGTCCTACCTCTTCTATGGGGCCTCTAGCTTCAACCAGCCCTTGGACACATGGGACACACAAGGAGTGACGGACATGAGCATCTTGGCTCGGAAATTTGACTATTTAGAAGCGGTGGTTGAGGCTTCTGTTTCCGGTGTTAAGGGGTGGTTTTTGAGGTTGAACTAGTGATGAAGGGCTTTGGACATGGAGTTGAATTCTGAATGTTTCAGGCTTCCAGTCTTCCAGTGTAGATGTATGAGAGATGTAAAGTCAAGACACGTGCAAACCGTACGTCGTGCGCCTAAGCTCTGAGGAAGGGAGTGCTCGTAATCCAAGGTTACATGTTTTGTGGTGCCAGCGCATTTGACCAGCCCCTCTACATGTGGACGACTTCCGCGGTGCAGAACATGAGTGGCATGTTCGAAGATGCCTGGGCTTTCAACAACAATTACGAGGACACCCGCCCCATGCGGGGTCTCGGTCGCTCGTATGTTGATTATTAGCGTCATGGCATTACATGGTCCCTTGTGCTTTTAGTTCAACTTCTAGCTGCCAGTTTCCCTTAATATAGGTCAACTGTATGGTGTGAAAAACATACCCTAAGCCCAAAACCGATTCTGACTTGTGAAGGTTCCACTTTTATCCACAAGCCTGCCTTTCACCCCAATCCTGCACCCTGATACAGAAGCCTTCATCATCAGACTAAATCTACTGCTGAGGGTTGCTAGTTAGACAAATAAAAAGTACGATCGACTCTAACCCCCGATTCATATCATTCAGGCCCCTCTATGAAGTAATAAGAACCTCAAACCCCGCCTGTTCGTTCCAAACGGTTCCGCAGGCTACAAAGCCTACAGCGCAAAAAGCAAGCTGCAGAACGTTGGAGGATGGGACACCAGCTCCGTACGGGACACTCGAAGCCTTGTTGAGCAAATCTATTGCACTTCGGGTCCAGGTATCTGCATAGGCCAGTATATACATTCGGCTTAGAGTAGAGATACTTTACAGAAGTCCTTGTTTCGGTCAATAGTAGGCACATGTACCAAGTCTCCAATTGCAACGGTCAGATACCTACTCGCCCAAGCCTAAATCGCTGAACCCTGAAAAATCTTAAACCCCGAAACCCGTAAGCCGAAACCCGGAAACCCCAAACCCTAAACCCTCCTCATCTCCAAAGCCCCTAAACCCTATTCCCTACGCCCTTATGAAATTTTAGTTTGGACTCCAGAGCCGTTTTGCAGCGTTCAGATTTGCGGTTTAGGGTCTATAGGGTAGAAAGCGCGTACGTAAAGTAGGGTTAGGGTGTAGGGTATCTGGGGCTTACGGTATAGAGGGTTTGGGAAGTTAATCGTGTTCTATGGTTTAGAGGTGTGGGCATCTGGGCAGAAACATTGTGATGACAAGAGACTGAGATCATAGCTCTCCCAGAGGGTCCATATATACATACACATATATCCATCTATATATATATATATATATAATATGTATGTGTATATTTATGTATATGTTATGTACACATAAACATATATATATATATATATATATGTAAATTTATTTATACTTACAACCATTCGACCATCCTAACTTTGGCTCGGGGGACCTAATTCCATAATCGTGTGTGTATATATATATATATATATCTATATTTATATTTATATGCATAGGTGGACCTTCTTGGTCTACATAGGCTCACGAAGACTTCTCTGTCCGCCGTGCAGACCGATCGTGCTCCTTCAAGAGCGGTTAGACAGTGATTACGTGCTAGCTGCGATTACCAAAACCTTTTTACTTGTTTAGTAGGTTCTGACAGAATGGGACCGAAAACCCAGTTCTAATTATTGAGGCTTCTATTTTAAACCTCAAACCCCAGTGGATATGAGGACATGAGCTCCATGTTCAAGGGCGCTCGGGCTTTCAACCAGCCGATCGGGCGTTGGGTGACATCCGCCGTGACTTGCATGCGGAGCATGCTGCTAGGTTCTGTTAGAACGTGTTTTCATGCGTAGTATTTCTGCCACTAGCGGGCTGTTGCTATTGGGCTTTGTTTCGTAGCTGTAGCAGCCAGCAGGAACCCCCGAAACCTTGAACTCAAAGCCGGTAAAACCTATCGGGAAGTTTCCGAAAATGGGGGACCCTATAATATAGTACCCTAAATCGTAGGATCCTTATTACAAGGATCCCACAATAAGGTTCAGCGGCGCTACTGCCTTCAACCACCTTCTCTTGCACTGGGATGTGTCGCGGGTGGCAGACATGAGCCTCAGCACTCAAGATGAAACCCTTGTCCATGTGTAGGTGACTCTAAGGGCCCATGTACCCACATAGTATATACATTGGCCTTGAAGTAGTCCCTAAACAAGGATTTTGGGGCCAAAGTATATACTGTTTGAGTACATGGACCCTTAGGGTGAGTAAGCTTGTACATGTGTGCTTGCAGTCTACTGGAAAAGCTGGAGCATGACATCTCCGCTCTGTGTGCTTCGCAGCGTTCAACAGCGATGCCTTCTCGTCGCCGTCGTAAGACAACGGCAGGGACTGCTGAATCTGAAGATGCCCTTCTGCTTCTGGAAACTGGAAATCCTTTCCAGAAAGACTCAGGTTTGGTTGAAACAGATGTTCCGTATAAACTCATTGCAAGTTAGACGGTTTCTGTTCTCGCAGATACTGTGACCGCACCTCAGTGCAGAATCTTGCGACTGCCTGGCAAGCTGTTGTTCTGGACGAGAGCAGGGACCTAGACATTGAGAGCCGTTCCGTCACGTTACTCATACAGGTGTTGACTATAAGTTAGGTTGAAACCGCAACAGGAGGCTGGATCAAGAAACACTACGTCGGTTTTGTTTCGGACTTCAGGTTTGCGTTTTCGGCACTTAACATCCTGAAACCCGTTTAAAAAAACACGCGAAACCCCAAAATCCCTAAACCCTACACCCCTAGAGCCCTTAAGGCCGAAACCTCAAGAAACAACACTAAGGAGCTTCATGTTTGAAGGGGCCATCTCGTTCAAGCAGCCACTGTTCTTATGGAAGACGTCCGCCGTCCAGAACATGACAGGCATGTTCCAGAATGCAAAGTCACCTGGCCGACCTTGTTCTGCTTGTTGGAGTAATTACCACACTTCGTTGTGTTGTTTTGGGACCTGCTCCTTAAAGGGGCCAGTATGAAGTAGAAGTCGAAATTTCTGTCTCCCTTGTGACTTCAAAGCCCAGTATCACAATTATCATTATTTCCTACGGCTACTATGGTTATTTAGTATGACGAGTACTCCATTAGTCACCAGTAATACTAGTCCTACAATCATTGCGGCCGGCTCGACACGACATCAAATCTATCACGGTTGTAACCTATCGCTACAATGCTACGACTGATACTCTTGGTTTTGTTTTTGCTCCCTAAACCCTAAACCCTAAACTCTAAACCGCTCCTCGTACGCAGAGTTTAGCTCTTGAGCCTGGATCCAAACTTCGAGCACCAAGGAGTCTAGATGGGGATTTCCGAAAATAGGGGATTTAATAGTTATACAGTATCCTTTCCTACTAGGATCCTTGTTGTGACGGTTGATGATAATCCTGCATGACCCATAATAAGGAACATACCATAATTCCCATAGCTTAGGGTCCTTAAGGTAATGCAGGATTTATATCATCAACCGAAGGACCCCCAAATAAGGTACCCCCCCCCCCCAATTTTCGGGAACTCCCAGATCGATCTTCTGGACCTTAATTAGAGCCTGACACAAAACGCTGAACTCCAAAGCCCTGAGCCTTTAAATGATTTCAACAACGGTTCTTTCGGCAGTACCCTAAGCCCTGAACCTTTAACCGAGCTACGTTCTTTGAGCATAACCCTAAGCCCTGAACCTTTGACCGAACTAAGGTTCTTCAGCCATATCCCTAAGCCCGGAACCGTAAACCCTAAACGCGAAAGCGTTAAACCCTAAACCCAAGGTTCTTCAACCATGTGCTCAGCTCTTGGAACGTCAGCGCAGTTCGCGACATGCGCGGGATGTTTCGGCGGGCACTTTCCTTCAACCAGGCTTTGGATCTGTGGCTAGGCAATTGTTAACGGTTTAGGGTTTAGGTAAACCTTCACATAAGTTTCAGCGTTTAGGGTTTCGGGAGCCGATGTGAAGATTATCCCTCAACCCTGAACCTGAAAATCCTAAACTTGCAAAGGTTATGACAGCCTTCACCCTGAAGCCTGCTCCGATTTTGGTCATAGGGACTGCAAGAGAAGATCAGGTGGGACACAGGGAATGTCACAGACATGACCGGCACCTTGGGCGGAGGTAGGGCTTAGGGGTTTCGGTGTGCTTAATACTTAAGTCTAGGGTTTGGGGGTTTAGTTGAGTAGGGTTGGGGTTACGGTTTGTGAGAAAGGTTCAATTTCGTGTTGCGGATCTGTACGGTTTTGTGGGTTTGCAGGATTCTGAGGGCTTTACCGGGCTGCATGGGCGTTTTAATTGCAGTCATCTAAGAATCTAAGGGGTTAGGGGTTTTCAATTTCCGAGGCTCAACAAGGATCGAGAAGCTGAAAGGAACTGCCTCCCATGCACCCTTTCCTGCACCCTAAACTCTACCTTAACCCTGAATAACCTACCTTTTTAGGGCTCTTTATTATGCTTTCCTTGTATAACTCTTTAAAGGGACGGTTATTGCAGCTTCAGGTATAGCCTATACCCTAGCCTATTCCATAGCAGTCAGAGTTCCGAGGCCAAAGATCATTCTGTCTGTAGTCTGTAATGAATGGAAGGTACCGTAGTTAAAGGATCATGGGACTTGGTAACTATAGGGTTATAATTAGGGTAAGGCTACTTATAACCCCAATTTAGGTACTTATAACCCTTAATTACTTACTAAGTCCCATGACCCTCCAGGTAGTCAGTCCGCTGAACTCCAAGGGCCCATGCATGTTGTGACCATGTGCTTAGTTCTTTAAATTAGGTTCCAGTTTTCGGTCCCCAATGTAGTGCGGCACCTTTATAATCAAGGACCGAAAAGGGACCCTAGTTTAAAGCACCACCCACAAGCCCACCAACATAATAGTTCACCTGCCCACGATCCGAAAACCCAGTCCCGCACCATTTTGTCTTGTGGACCGTCTAAGCCACAACAACAAGAGCAGCTAAAACTTCAGAAAGCACCGGCCAACTCGAACTTGGGGGGTTTTCTTGGCTTGAACAATTTGAGAAGATTTTCAGGGTATGTGATACTTTGTAGTCGTGTAGCGACATAAGGGAATGCGTCTAATTATGCTAGAGTGCTGCGAAGCAGACAAATTACGACCTGAAGCACTCAAAATCATGCACAACAGGCACTTGCTAGATTCCGAACCCTTCTCTAGGTATGAGTTGTATACTATGAGTCGTTGGGGATACCTATCCGCACCCATTTTCACCCTACAGAAGTTCAATATGCAGCGTCTATCTGGGGTTCGCGGAGCAGTTAGGATTTAGAGCTAGTAGACCCGGAAGTCGTGTACGTGTGTTCTGCATACGTACATAAATTAGCAAGTGGTTCATTGACTGTGGGGCAGCCAAATAGCAGAGATGCTGCTGTTCTGGTTCTTGTTGTTGACGTTGGAAGTAGAGCGTCAAGATGTGATCACCGACAAGCAGGGAACTCCAAGCAGCACGGTGTCGGGTTTAGGGTTTAGGGTCTGTTTGCGTGTATATGGGAGTTTCCGAAAATAGAGGTACCTTGTTTTGGGGTCCTTGTAATAAGGATCCTACTATTCAGGGTACTATATTAGGGTCCCCCCCTATTTTCGGAAACCCCCATATTCTTCGAGATGCGATTGGAGCGCCTGCAGTCCCGATGCATGGCAGAGCCCTCAACTTTCCCTGCAGACCTAGAGGCTCCAAATATAGTACCATTATGGAATTAGGTTTCAAAAGCCATGATATGGATGGTCTTTTGAGACCTAATTCCATAATGGTACTATATATGGAGCCTCTGGGAGAGGGAACTTTTGCAGCTTAATTCTCCCCCCAGCTAGTAGCCTACATAACAACTCTGCGTCCCGAAAATATATGTAGGCCCTTTCGAGCATTGGGGTTGGGGTATTTGGGGAACTTTGCAGCTTAGGCATGTTCGAGGGTGCCATGGCCTTCAACCAGAAGATTGGTAACTGGGACACCTCCCGGGTCACGAGCATGGGAAGCATGTGCCTTGCACCTGTCCAAAGCTAGGTATCGATTTGGGATGCTTTTTTGACTTCCTTAGTGTTTAATATAGAGCACTAATTTAGCAACAGTAGCGTTGGGGACTGTTGAAATCGGCATGTACAAAGAGTTCTGCGGACTCAAACTTGTATGGGCACCTAAACTACAGTAGCACGACGGCAAAACAAATCCATAGGGTTCCTTAAGAGAAGTATCACCAGTAAGGATATATAGTACTATGAACACCAATATCCTGCTCTAATCACGAAGGCACTGAGGCCTCTATGACAAGTACCGAGACGCCAAAGCATGCAGAGTCAAGCCCTGCCTGCAACCCCGAGCCCAAGCCCTGCTTTATGGAAGTTTATGACCCCTTACCCTGGGGATCAAAATCTCCCCAAAGCCTTATCTAGTATGTTTTTTGGGCCCAAAAGCCTTAATATATGAGTCCTTAGAGCCCTAGGGTCAGTTATGGTGTATATAACGCCAGAAGCAGTAGGGGGTTTTGGATGCCCAAACCCCATACCCTACACCCCAAAACCCAAAATCCCTAGTTATGAACTCCCTGGCAGGAAAATCACCTAGCCGTTCTTTATGGGCCTTCAGGGAATCTCGGTAGTCCCCTCAGAGGGATTCCAAGAAACCCTAGGCCCTGAACCCCCCAAACCGTAAGTTTCTGAACCCGAAGCCTTTAACTTAAGTTCTACTGTTGGTGATAAAAATCCTGCATTACCCATAATAGGGAAAATACCATACTTCCCATAGTTTAGGGTCCTTAAGGTGATGCATGATTTATATGGGGGTTTCCGAAAATGGGGGACCCTAATAGAGTACCCTAAATAGTAGGCTCCTTATTATAAGGACCCCGAAATAAGGTACCTCTATTTTCGGAAACTCCTATATCATCCACCGTAAGTCCTAAGCCCGGGCTTCAAAGTTCGAGGCGATGCCTTGGATCGCCATGTTAACTCTGGCGGTCTTCGGACTGAGAACATGAAAAAGGGTCGGTTCAGGGTCTAGGGGTCCTTATAAGGGGTACCTTTAAAGGGATCGTAAGGGTTCTATAAAGGGTTGAGGGTTTCCGAAATTAGGGGCTAGGATGCCCCAGTAGTACCCTCATTCCCTTTTTGTAGTCCTAGGTTCCTTATAAAGTTACCCAATACCAAAAAGAGAGGCCTTTTTATTCTTAGGTTACTGCGTATCCTAGTAGTTCAGGAGCCTTCTCTAGCTTAATGTATGTTCCTTAGTCAAGGGCTTCGGTTCATGTGCAGAACATACCCGACTGTAACGAAAGATGTCCAGACTGATAAATGCTGGGTTCTTGTCCTTTCTTTCTCGAAAGGCTCCGATCTGGGATAAGGCTAGAGGTAGTCTAAACCCAAACGGGAATCCTCTCTTTGTCAGGATCCTTCATCCCACCCACCTTCATCCCACCTGTTGACGCCTCCATGTTCTCGGGTTACCTACATGATAACTAAAGCCCTGAACACACAATCCTGAACCCTGAACGCCATACGCCAGCTACCTGAAATCTGAATTTGTGCTGAACGGTGGACCCGATGTCCTCGTCGCAGACCACTCTCGCCATACCCACACCCACATACCGTCACCTACCCCTAGCTGGAGGTAAAAGGCTATATTGACACATCGATTGGGGCCAGCATGGGACGGTAAGCACCTCAAAGACCAAATGACCCTTAAAAGTAAGGGCCCAATAGCCTGTATAGTATGAATCCCTATATTGTATATGAACCTTAAAACGGTTTAGGGTTCATGTCGTCTTCACGGCAAGAAGTAGCAAAATCCGAGGTTTCTCGATGCTTCGACATTCAACCAACCAATCGGATCTTGGTGCATTTCGGCGGTGGTAGATCTCAGCAGGAGCGCAACCTGCAGGTTTTTTTTTGCGGAGTCTACAGGGGGGGGGATCCTCAGGAGCAATTTGCGCGTATGTGTGGGTTTCCTGCCGGGGCGCCAGATGTTGTTTAAAGCTACTTGAAGGCTCATGGGACTTAGTAAGTGAGGTTATAAGTAGGATATAATTAGGATAACCCCACTTAGGGGACTTATAACCCCAATTATAGCCTATTTACTAAGTCCCATGATCCTCTAAGTAGCCCTGGCAGCCCAATCATCTAAACGGTTGGCCAGTGCCTCGGCTCTCCTGTTGTGGACACATTCATACCGAAGGCGTCCTAAGTACCTATATGGTAGAATGTAAGGCTTCTATTAAAGGAATTACTATTAAGGGGCAAGTATCCGCCATATAGGTACTTATAAGGACTCTTTGGTATAACAGCCCGAACACACTTGTGCATAATTCAGGTGACAGACTGATTAATAACAATACTATGTCCTCGGGTTCAATACGGTACCACATAGTCTGCCCTAAAGCCCCATTCTGGTTGTTCAGGCGCCCTTATAGTGAGCCGTTTTGAAAATCTGTGGCCCCTCTATCAACCGAGCTGCTGCAGACATAATTTGAAGTCTTCGCCGTCTAAGTCTGGATCCGCGATGTGATCTGCAGAAGGGTGTCTGTATCGCTTTAGGTGTGAGTCCATCCTGGTTGTATTAGGGTGAGGGTTCAGGGTTTAGTGTTTACCCATAGGCTCCATAGTCGTTCCTTTTCGGGGTTACCTTTTAGGATGCTAAATACAGACCACTAAAGGAACTACAGTGGCGCCTATGGGCAGGGATATCCCAACTGGTATTCCTAAATTTGTTGCCCCTTCTTTCGCTGAGCCGTAAGCTAAGCACTAGGATTTAGGGTTTGGGGTTATTACATCACAGGACAAAGCCATGAACCCCAGACCCTACGCCCTAAACCCTACTCTCAACATCAAACTGTAGCCGCATCAGAGGTTTTTGGTTTCCGGTTTGTAGCTTCGGAGTTTCGAATGTACCTGGCCTACAGTCTTTCGATGTCCTTCGGGTTGTGCGGGCCCGGAAGGATGTTTTCCCGCGCGGCATCCTTCAGCCAGCGCCTCCCTTGGGACACGCGAGCAGTGAAGAACTTCTCCTTCATGTTTGAGGAGGCCAAGTCTCTTCAGGTTTATGGTTTACCCGGTTTACCCTAAGGCCTCAAAGTAGTTCCTTTTTTTTGGGGATTACCTCATAAGATTCTAAACATGAACCCCAAAAAGGAACTACTTTGGGGCCTTAGGGTAGTTCTACAGTACAGTAGGGTTTATAGTTCAGAGATGTTCGTTGCTTCTTTCTTTTCCACATACGCTAGGCTAGGTGGTGCTAGTTCGGTTCAAAGCGCGTTCAAGAGGGTTTCAGGTTGATGGTTTAGGGGGCTTTACAATGGGGTTTCGCATTCGGGGGGTGTGTCTTACCGCTTACGATTTGATTTAGGGCTCCAGGAGATGGCTGTCGTTTGTTTTTCAACTTCTCGTTGCTCACCATACATATGGGGGGGGGGGGGGGGTCCGAGAATAGGGAACCCTAATATAGTACTCTATGCTAAATAGTAGGATCCTTAGTATCAGGACACCAAAATAAGGTACCCCTGATTCTCGGAAACTCCTGTGTTATGTCTCGGCATCAGATTGAATGTTCCAAACCCTTAACCCTACCCGCACCCAGACAGCGTGTGGAGCAGTAGCCTGTTCATAAGTGTTGCAGGCCATGACTTTACCTACATTGGGGGCATAGGTAAACCCTGCGCACGAAGTCAGACAACCCTAAACCCCAAACCCTAATTAAACCCTAAACTCGTAAACCCCGACACCCTGAGGCCCTAAACCCCTAAGCCTAAACCCACAACCCTAATTAAAGCCTAAGCTCTAAACCCTAATGAAACCCCAAACTCCGAACATCCTCCACACCCTTTTACAGGGAACTCCAGAAAGTTGGAATATGGTTTCATGGTAGGATACCCTATAATTTACCATAGAAGGGTTAGGATGATCATATTCCAACTTTCTGGCTTTTACTTTAAAGGCCAAAGCCCTATAAGCCCTACGCTTCTGGGCATCCCCAAGTCTGGCCTGACTCAAGCGCTACGGGTTCAGGGTTGCAAAAAACAGGAAGCCTCTTGAAGGACTTAATAACCCCTATACATGTACCGCTCTTGAGGGTTCCTTATAAGGGCTCTGTACGGGTTTAGGGTAATTATAAGGGTCCATGTGCCCAACTAGTCTATACTTTGGCTTTAAAGTCGTCCCTATGTAGGTACTTCAGACCCAAAGTACTAGTTGGCCACGCGGACCCTCAGGGTAACGCTATTCCCGAAAGCCCTACCCGAATTATTCTGGCATCTCTTTTTATGGTGGGTTGAGGTGTTCAGGCTTCATGCTTGAGGGATACACATTCTTATAGTGAGATCAGTTGGAAATTGGGGCCCTCACCAAGCTCCGAGCATGGATAGGAATCTTTGCTTCTGCTGAGCTCGGTTAGAGCCTCAAGGGAAGCAAAGCTCGCCGAGCGTAAGTAATATAGAGAACCCTTATAAAGACCCAAGGTTTCTTAATCGGGTTCCTAGGTTAACTTACAGTGCCCTTGGAAGGCCTGGACGTTCAATCAGCCGGTCAATTCTTGGAACACTACGGCAGCGGTGGATATGCGAGCTTTGGCTTTCCCTGGTAACATGGGTTTTAGGGTTTTGGGTTTAAGGCTTGAAGTTTTTGCGGTTTAGGGTGTTGAGGGTTTAGGTTTGGGGCTTTGGGGACTTGTATTGGGCTTGGGCCTGGTTTGGGCTTAAGTAGCCCTGCTACCTCTTTACAGGGATAGGAAGCTGCTCAACAAGACGAACTTGGCAGATAGGTTTGGTAGAAGTACTTAGAATTGCTGACCAACTCGTAAGTCACATCAGTTGGACCTTACCAAAATGTCGTCTTCTAGGATGCCCAGTAGTACCCTTATTCCCTTTTTGTAGTCCTAGGTTCCTTATAAAGTTACCCAATACCAAAAAGAGAGGCCTTTTTATTCTTAGGTTACTGGGTATCCTAGTCTTGAACATGTGATCCCCGGCGGATGTTGGATGCTCGACCCCAACCACGGTTTAGGGTTTAGGGTTTAGGGTTTATCCCCAAAAAAGGGGTTCGTGCCTCTAGTCGATCGTTCGACTGCGTGGGTTTGGGATTTGGGTTTGAGGGCTTTGACAATCTTGCTGCTTTCTGGCTAAACCCCAAACCTTATAAGCTCTAAGCCCCTAAGCCCCAAATAAAGGGTGAGGCCCTAACCCTAAACCCTAAACCCTAACCCCTAAACCCAATTCTTGACCGAGGATCCATGTTTTCCTTTGCGGATCGCTTCAATCAGCCGCTGTCTGCCTGGAACACGTCCTCTGTGACCGACATGAGCTTTATGCTGCCAGGCGGCACTCAGCAAGATGTTGAAGATAGGGGCCTTAAGAACTACCTATGGTATTGTGGGGGGTTCCTTATTCTAGTGATATAGTATATGCTCCTAAGTGGCATTCAGGAAGACGTTTAGTTCAATCTTTAGTCTTTGACTACAGTGTTTCATTTGGAGGCCAAGGGTTGGCACAAGCCTCTGCCCAAACCCTGCACTGCTTAGGAGAGCTATTTGCGAGAACACTAATTAGCAGACTTATGAGCACAAGCGTTTCTGATGCTTTCCGGACGAAGTGTGGCGGTTTCGGCTCACTGTGCAAAAGTGCGGAAAAGGCTTCGTGCTATGCTTTGCTCAACAGCTACACTTGATTAACTTTCCGCGTCGAACACCCTCAAACTTGTTCGAATCCCACCCGAACCCTAAACCCCAGAAATTCTGCTGGCTTCCGAAATCAGCTCAGGACCCCTAAGGGTCCATGTGCTCACGTAGTATATACTTCAGCCTTAAAGTAGTCCCTTTATAGGCACTTTAGACTCAAAGTATATACTATTTGCGCACGTGGACCCTTAACAGCAAACGCATAAAGAGCTCTTACAGTACCGCTTACAGGAACCCTGAGCGACTCTAAACCGAGGTTTGCCGGCGCGCCGGCCTTTGACCAACCCCTGTCTGCATGGGACACGGACGCTCAGCTGGCTAAAGGGTTGTCTTCACTCTTTATTGGCTTCAGCAAAAGAATACACAGAATGCGAATAATACTCAGACTAGTACTGATAGTGATAGTGCTAAGAAACGTAGCAATAATGATGCCCCTCAGCTGTGAAGCTTCAGGTTTTGTAACTTGAGGTTTGTGAATGGAGGTTTAGAGTTGGTAGTATGCCTTGGAAGACCATGTGGAAGTGAACTGAATGGACGCCAGGCATCGGTCACGAACATGAGCCTGAGACAGCAATGGCAGTACCTTAAACCTTTTGGCCTCAGATTTTTGTGTTTTGCTAGAAAGTTTGAACTTTTGGGTCTCACATTTTGCGTCTATGTTAGAGAAAGTCTGGAACTGTTCGGGGCCCGGTTATTGAAGAAGAAAGATCAGGGAACCTTATTTCCAGCTACCATAATCAGGATCTATAGTGGGGGCCCAGTTTTTGAAGAGGTTATTGATCTCATATACTAGCTTTTTTAAGGAATTATATATCGAAACTGTGTTCGGGGCCCGGCTCGTTGAAGAAGAGAGGAGCGGCATGTTTTTCCACGCCTGGTCCTTCAATCAACCTCTGGACAGCTGGAACACGGCCGCCGTGACTGACATGAGCCGCTGCCCAGCTTAAGAGAGGCCTAGCAGTAGAGTAGGTAACCTTTAACCGGAAGTATATAACCAAAAAGGCTAACCTTTAGTTCCCCATGATACCCGACAAATAATAGGTAGGAGCTTACATATTTACCGTCCCTCAAGGGTCTCGGGTTCCTTTAAGGCTTCCTTTGTTCTAGGGCCCTAAGGACTCATGTATGCAGATTTTTGGGCCCAAAGACCATACTATGTAAGGATTTTGGCATATTTTGATCCCCAGGGTCAGGGATGGTTGATCAGGAGTCTTGTGTTGAGGTGACGAGTCCAAGTGGTTAGAGTTGGCTCGGGGGTGGTGGTGGTGGTGGTGGTGGTGGTGGTGGTGGTGGTGGTGGTGGTGGTAGCTGCAGAAGTTTGCGTTGAGTTCTCAGATCTGGTGGATGTGGCTTGACCGGAGTCTTTCGTGCTGCATGGCACGTCCATGAATGTAGACTACATATTGCGCGGTTTTAAGTGGTCTAAAATGGGTTCAAAGTTCAGAAGGTGTTTGAAAGGCGTACAAGGGTATTGTAGGACGGAAGCTGCAGTTTCTTTGTGGGCAAGGTTCGTCAATCTTGGATGATTGAATTGCCAGGCCTTTTCAGCCGTGCCTCCTATAGAGCCTAAAACCCCAAACCCTGACGCCGAAAGTTGCATACCTCAACCATGAGGCAAAACGACGTCTAATCCGCTTGGCTATAGGGGCCTGAATAATTCCTTATACTATTTGGGGGGGGGGGGGGGTGGCCGGCTTAAACAGGATATAGTCGCCAGCTGAAACCGTGGGTTTTTCATTGCATACTAGAGACGTGTATATCACTATTGTACTGGACCGACGTATCTCTGTACGTACTCAATACAAGTATAGAATCTTTCGTCTCGCCTCATCGACATTGGTGGGGCTGTGTTGAACTTTCAATGTGATCGACTTGTCGCAAAGCCGACGGACTGGAGCACGAAGGTCGCATCTTGACTACCAGGAAACGGAAATGTAGTTGCGTGAAGGTTACACGCATAGCGCGATTCATCAAGGAACCGAACATACATAGTTCTGTATACACTCAAGGCAAGTGTATAACGTCTTCCTTCGTGATATCATCATTGACTGGACTTTCCTGAACTTTCAATGCGATCGACTTCGACCTGTCATAAATCAGCGGCTCAGACCACGGAGGTGGAATCATAGCTACCAAGAAACATAAATATAGTTGCGTCATGGCTACACGCACAACATGAGGCAAGAAGAAGTCAAATGTAGATAAGACCCGGTTCCGAGTATCGACTTCGATACAGATCCATACTCTTTCAAACGTGGGTTCGGAATCTGTCGTTCGGTCGTCTGGACTTTCCTGATTCTACCTGTGAATCACTTTACATAAGACTAGGGGATTTGTTCAATAGGATATTCCCGCGAATAACACAGTAATGAGCAGTACGCCACGTCCATCGAACGCCTACAATGCAAATTGGGAGTCTTTGTTTCAGCTCCCTGTGTATCGGATCTGTCTTGTACTCGTTTCAGCTTCTAGGTCTCTATCGGAACTGTCTTGTACTCATAATCGGAAACACTGCGGCATCAACAATCGGACCTCACAGTGCTGACCAGGCCTTGAGAGCAGTCTCGCAGGGGATTGCCTGCCAGCTGCACAGCAGACCATTCTTATTCGGTGTAACGTCAGCATAAGATCATGGAACGTGGCAGTGCTGACTTACCGACAGATGGCAGACATACAAGTTCACGAACAACTGAAAGTCACAGCGGCATTCTAACGACTTTTCGTTCATGACACATGCATAAGGATAGATGCGCTTTCCACATCAGCCAATACTCTGCGACCTCCGTCCGGGACGGATGACGGGATTCATCACCCGAAGCCGGAACGGAGTGCGTCGCACGGCCTTTGCCTTAGGCAAGACCGGCATACGTTTCTTCGGAGGTTTCCGACTAGAAGCCGAGGTGCCTGCAGTAGCCGCCTTCTGCGACTGCTTCGCAGATCGCACTGACGCGGCTTGCTTGACGACACTTAAGCCCGCCTTCTGTGGAGTCTTCCCTCGGACACGGAGGCTCTTACACCATTTAGTCCATTCCTTGTAAGGAATAATGGTTCGCATGTTGCCGTGAATGGCTCTGGGAACAAGCTCACCTTGGGCGACTTGCCTTTGCAAAGGTCTATACAAGGCTTGGTTGTGCAGCAACAACTTCAAGAAATGAAAGAAGCGAAGTTTCAAGAGGAAGGTCGCCTTGTGTATCATGGCCTGCAGCAAGGGTTGCTTAGGGGCGGGTTGCATCGACATGATTGCTATGCTCAAGCCTACTGCAATCAAGTCGCAGTTTCCCGAAACCACACATTCACCTCGTGGTGCAGACTTTCATTAGACGTTGTACCACTTGGCAGGAGCACCAGCTCTTGTCGATTAATGGAATGGCGATACCTGGTGTCGTTGAGAAGCCACTGGAATTTGGCAGGGCTGGCGACGTTCACGATGAGCCGATGCAGCGAAACCCCTGTAAAGGTGACTTTACGAAGTTCTTCTCGAAAGAATGAAAAGTGTGCTACCAAGGCTTGGAGGAAGTCGACTTCCGTCAGCCAGGGAGTGTCAGGATCCAGTCTCTCCAGTAGCTCTCTCGCTGCATTTTCAGACATATCCGGCTCTGAAAGACAATCTCTCATGGATCTGACATCCTGCGGCGCTGATCCGAGAGTGCCTCCGCTGTAGAACTCACCCCAAGATGCCTGCGTGCGAGAAGAGTGCCGCTTGCGAAACTTGTTCATGATGACAGCAAGCCATCTGCTCCCCGCGGTCCGGCGGTTGTTCATATTTTGATCGTAGACCATAACAATATGCATGGCGTCCAGCGACAGACTCTGCAGATTTGGTAGAACTTCTTTCAAAGTCTGAAACATTTCCGCAGAGGGAGCATCAGATGCAACATGCAACACCTGTGCACGTTGCGTGTTTGTAAAACTGCTTCTCAAAGCATCCGCCAAAATGCTTGACTTCTCAGATCTGATCCCACATAGCGCCAACGTTGCGCCGGTGCGGCCACGGCATGTCATGGTTCGGTACGCAGCCTCGTCCTCTGGGATAATGGCCTGGGAACGAGTCGATGCAGAAGAGTGGAAGTTTGCCTGTCCTATAATCTTCAAGTTGATCTTAAATGTCGCATCCAGGCTGATGTACTTAAATTCTTCAGCTTGTGCACATCGGTCCATGAGCTTTGCCGTATATGCTTCAAGCAGAGGCGACCCCATGAGGTCTTCAAGGACATTCGTCCAGAAGCCATTGTTGCCGCGAGGAATAACCGATGCCAGCTTTCCATCATTCCTCGTGCATCTTTCCAGGAAATATGCCTGTATCTTGTGTAGAGAGGCATTGTGAGCGGCCGCTGCTTGGAGGAATGCATCAGCGAAGTCGTGATCGTAGAACAGGTTACCCACTCTACGCAAACCTGTGGCCTTTGTTACAGATCGAATAGTGACAAACTCCGGCCCGTCTGAGTGAAAAACACAGCGAAGGAATTTATCGATGAAGCTGAGAGTAGACGGCATGTTGCCTTTGACGGTCTTCCGGAGGAGCTCACTGGCCCTAGCCAGAAAGGTTGGTTGCGGTGCTCGATCATGAAGGCGGTCATGATCATAGAGCGCCGCCACGACCCGCAACATCTTGGTCCCAGCCGGACAGAAGCGCTTGGATTCTGTATGTTGGTTTTGTAGGTGCTCCACCAAGCATCGACGCCGCTCGAACCGTCTCCAGGGGCAACACGGACAGACCGTTGGCGGAAACGACTTTCCAGCTTGTGTCCGTACTGCCTGAATTGCAGTCTTCACTTCATCACAGAGCAGCCTGCGTAGCTCTATGCCGACATCTACCTCGCCTTCATTCTGTGGATCCTGTTGATGTGGGATAGAGGCAGGTCGTTTTTTGACTGAAGATGCAGAGGAGGAGCCAGCCAGAAGATCAAGAAACCGGACCTCTGTGTCGTCGAGGTCTGGATCTTCCGAAGCAATAGCAAAACAGAATGTCTGTTTCGTGCCGTGGTATGACTCGAGTAGATCCACTAGCTCTGCCATAGTGCCCTCATAGACCTTGCCTGCGCGCATAGCGAGAATGTTGTTGTTCGGGACAACCTTGACCCCCATACAAAAGGATGACTCTGGCAGCTCGAGATGTAAAAGGAAATCCTTGGTCACGTCTAGTATGCCTGCATGTTGCGGGAGTAGGTACAGATCCCCACAGCCGTGCCAGTCCGAATACTGTCGGACACAATGTCTGTCGGCCTTTGCGTTCGACGGTGATTCCTTTCGCAGACGCACGATGACCTGCTTTATGTCCGCCCCGAGGAAGGTCATCGCAGCTGGAATGGAGTTCGACACGGCAGTCAAGAGTTCATGGTAACCTCCCAAACCTGCACCAACTTCACTCTCTTTAAGCTTGTTGGACAGGTACATGTCAAAGGAAGGCAGCGTCTTGTCCTTGATCACCACATCGAAAGGAGTCTTTCGCCCTATTGCTTCCTGCAGGACTGTGATCATGCTCTTTCCTGCTGCCATCTCGACTGACTTCATCATGGAAGTGCTAATCAGAAGACCATCAAAATGACAGGACATGTGACCGTCGAAGCCATGTTTCTGGACCTCTTCGACCATGACCTGTAGAATATGATCTTCCGCCGGAGTCCACCAAGCCGCGAATATGCTAGCTTCCGGCCAGTTATTCTTGGAGTGACGTCGTAGTTGAGTGTATTCTGCTGGCATCTGGGAACATGCTAACCAGCGCAACTGTCGGCTTTCACTCGACAGAGCTTTCAGGAAAGCCATGCCCTGCTTGTTCAACTTGTCGAACTTGTCAGGCGAGGCTCCGTTAGCCACCTCCATAAGAATTTGCTTACCCTGAGCATCATTGCACTTCAGGTTAGTAGAGCACACAGTCGCTCTGTCCTTTGCGATAGCACGCCACGAGGGTATGTCAAAGTCTGCGGGCTTGACCAAGTCAAATAACTGAACCACAATAGTGAACATAGAAGCCATCACGTCGTAATCTGTAGTATCCGGACAGCAAATGGACCGTGTCAGACGACATAAGTTCTGAGCTCCAACGTTCGATACGAAACGGCGACATCGAAGATCCATAGGGTAGAAGTACGACTGCTGTACAGTCACATTCCGGTCGTTCGCATCGGGTAAGTCTGGCTTTGCATCCTGGATCTCCCGGTACAGCGCGCGTTCCTTGCTCATCATATCCTCGAGTGATTGTGGGAGTTTGGCATCATCGACGTCCGCATTCGTGCTTCTTTTGGGAGCACCCTTCTTTCTGGAAGGACCTTGTATTCTTTTTCCGTAGAGCTCAGCCAATGTCTTCAAGTTCAGGCTTCTCGAAGAGGTCGGTGCCAGACGAGAACAGACATTCTCGACATTGTATTCTTCCGTGAAGATGAGGTTTTCGTCGTGCTTCAGAGGGACAACATCACCAAGTGCCTTTTCACACGGGTAAGTTGGAAGGAAGATCGTGGTCTGGCCAACCTTTGGCAACGTACTCGGGGCTGAAATCAGCTTGCCTTCCGCGGTCAGCTTCTCAATGACCTTCTGCGCCTCTTGCTTGTTGAAATTGAACGCGAACTTGGACTTGGCACTCTTCAACTGGTGCACTGTGAACCAGTCTTTGCGCTCATCACAAAGCCACTGACGGATCTGTTGAATAGTCTGCTTCTCTTCGTCTCGGTGAGCGGCGATCATGTCTCGAGCTTGAGAGACGTCTGGCTTACTCCCGCCAATCTCGCCTGAAGGTTCCTTCTTTGACGTGAGAGATTCCAGAACTTCGTGCAGCGGATCGACTGTTGCCGTTTCATCCGGACTCAGACCACAGCTGCGCCGCACCGTCGCCAGAGTCAAACCACCGTCACCACCACGAACAGCATACTTTTCCAGAACATCACGACATTGGAAAGCGGTGCGACTTCGTGCGTAGTTCCACAAGCAACGGAGTGTTACCAAACAAGCAGGCCCGTCCCGTAAGAAGTCCTTTAAGGTGGGATCCCGCGGAAAAATACCATGCGCTGCAGCTAGTTTTTCCTTGCCGGCGATGCGGGCCGCATCCACGAAGACGCTTTTGTATTTGCATACTGCCGTCCGCCGAAACATGGAGTTCAAGGTCTCTTCGGTGACTCCCGAGAACCTGCCCAGTAGAGAGGAGCTCTAAGTTACAGTCGAACATCAACCAAACATCACAATATTACGTAGCTGCCGACATTATGCCCTGATTACCTCAATCTGCAGTCGAGCAACTTGGGAGCAGTGTTTAGCTCGAATTTTTTCCAACCACGCAGTTCCACCAGTTCCGTGTGTATGGCGTACGGCAGACGCTCTGGCACCTTGTCGGCGGAAATGTGCTTCTTGTAGATGTCTTCTCTCATCGGACGTCGGGAGCCCTGCACGCTTTCTTGCCCGGTCACGACAATTTTCCCGACGATGTTGGCAGCTTGCTTCCGCATCTCCTGTCTGAGTACTCTGTAATGGTCTCAGATACAAGCTTGTCGTACAACCACTAGTATAGCTTCATGTCCTACAGTTTTATGGATGTTTTAGGATTTGTTCATCTTCCTGCCTCGTCCACAAAGTATATGTTCATGTCGAGACAAGTGTGGTATTCTCCGAGGATGGCTTCCAAATGCGCTGTCTGGAGACTTTGGCCCACGCCACCTGCGCCTATACCCCAGAAGGCACGGTCCGCGTTCTCACCACGCAAAGCAAGAGTGAACGAGGCCATGAAGACCTCGAATGCATTCGCGTTGTCCCAGTAGGTCGTCTGCCAGAACAAGTGCACTCTTTGCCGCACGTCATCCGCAACCGGATCCAGCATTTTGTGCGGAAGGTAGACATAGACGTCGTTGGCTGCTGCTTTGGGGACTGCCTGCAACCCAGCATCCGTGAAAGTGAAACAGGCATCGGTGGTGCAAAAGCCACCAGAGGGCTGAATGTCGAGAGAACACCAGGCAATGTAGTACTTGATGAGACTATCATTGAGCAAGGAGGTTTGCCTGGGAGCTGTCACCGACAAGCACACAAACTAAATAGAACCAGTTAAACTCTATATTCAACACGAAGCATTTCTCACGTTTTACATGAAACGAGCGGCAACTTCACATAGAGCTTGCCGATTGTGTTGGCCATTGCCACCGTCCAAGGCAAGGCCTTGCGATGGTCCTCGGCCCCATCGCCTTCATCCCGAGTGTTTGCTTTGGATGGCATTCGACAAGTAGCAGCCCTTTCACAGGCAGCCAGAAGGCTATCGCAGCAACCAGAGTGTCTTTCCAACAAAGCTTGAGACGCCTGCAGGATGCCTTCACTGTTCCGTAGGGCAGATGACTCGAATAACGCGTAGACGCCTTCCAACTGGATCAGAAACTTCTTACATCGCGCAAGAGTGCCTTGGGGCACCACACCCTTGTAAGCATTCCAGTGGCCATGTTCCGAATAGAAAAAACATTGGCCATTGTGGGCACGGACATGTCTCCCGGACCCTTCGATGAGCTCGAGGAACAGGACTTCCTCTCGCCGGCTGATATCCAGAAGCCGAAGTTGATGGACAGCTAGAGCCCCTTGAACCACGTGACGAAAGGCGGTCGACCATGCCGCACTGGGCCGATATGCTGTAATCATCCTTTCGAGTCCGCCGATCTCCTTGAGGATGCTCCCTTCAACAGATTCGCGCTCGGAGGACTGACCAGGGATGGATGACATATCGAAATCCGTTTGCATGAACTGACTCATTGCATTATCCGGAGTAGCTCCCTCCACAGATTCCTGGGCTTTGTGTCGCTTCGAAGATCGTTCGTCTGCACTGGGTACTTCTGGAAGTACGTCTTCATAAGTGTCCATCTCTTGATCCAACATCTGCGAGAATGATAGCTCGCCTTCTTGACTCCCGCCACGTAAATCTCCACTCTCTGCGGAGAGGTGTATCTGGAGCTGTCTATCATCCCTTCTCCAGCTCATTAGCTTTTCGATCTTGTCCTGCATCATTGGCACGTTCACGATGAGTGGCTGCGGCGCATTGTCCGGATGCAAGCACACTATCCTGAGTTCTGTCACGTTGATGTCGTAGTATCTTCGTAGGATCCAGGCGTAGATGTTCACTTGAACCCGATAGTGCCACAGGACGGAATCAGGAACGTCGTTCATGGGAAAGTGCATCATGCGTCCATACGCAGCATCTTTGGAAGCAAGGGCCTTGGTTCTTTTCCAGTCCAGAATGCAATACTCGTTCTGTCGTACGGCCACTGCATCAATGGAGCCCGCAACATCCTCTGCTTCACAGTAAACACACCACTCTGTTCTGAATATCATCCATCCTTCTGCTTGTAATCCTCGTATGACCTTGGTGAACATGCACATCTCCTCCGAGGCAAGGCACACCATCCCACCGTTCAACAAGCACTCGCAGCACGCATGCATCCATGTACCCTGAGCAGCAGCCGTGCGTCGGTTCCTCTCCCATCTGTCCAGGATCTCATCATCCGTCATGCTGACAACAGAAGCTAGATGAGAACAGCCTGGATGAGTCCAGACAAGATCACGGATAGCCTGACAGATGGCTGCAATATCTGTCACCTCTGCATCTACCAAATGTCGCAGTATCAGCGTCAAAGGGCTATTCGGTAGATGTTGGTTTAAGACCTCCACGACATTGGCAACTGTGTACTCCTCTCGTGGCCAGTTTCTGCCATTGCGCATCGCACGGAGTGCGTCAGCAGAATTGAATTGATGCGTGAGACCATGAATCAAGCTGGTAACCGACACGCTGACTCTGCGCCCTTCCCAAGTGTAAATATGTTCCAGTTCTTCAAACTGGAGACTGCAATCTCGGGGGTGAAGATGTACGTGACTCAAGACGTCCAACACATTCATGCCGGCTAGGTGCGTGATGTCGAAGCATGAGGGACTCTCCAGCACAATTGTACGTGGATTTCTGAGATCTCTCAATGCAGGTGGCAGAACAGCAGCCAAGTCCACGTCGATCAGACCAAACCTACCAGGCGTCTTCGTGCCATTTCTGTCAATCGCGAAGAACGCAGACACGCCATTGTGTTGAATAGAACGTTCAAGTCTTCGCAAGAAATTCTGGTCCACGTCATGGAAGCTTGCGTTATGGATTTCCGATGCTGCATAGACTAGCTCCTGCTGCATCCTGATGCGATCACAGAGTAAACCAAATGCCGCACTTTCGCCTTCGAAATTGACATACAATCGCAGCAATGCGGTCAGACGTCTTTGTTCAATGTGTATCCGTTGTTGTCCTATTCCAGACGACCCGCCGAGGCGATCCTCCAAGAAGGTGTCAGGAAGGCATGCCAGGCACGACTCATTTCCCACGAGACCATGTTGCTGGCAATACCAATATGAGCAGGTCATACAGCAGCCAACACTGTCTGAGTAACAGTAGGAACACTTTGGCTGGCCAAAGTGGGTTTGATATTGAAATGGCAGCAACTCAACGCTCAGGCCTGTAGCTGGCCGCTCACTATCGCCGACACACATGACAGCGACACGCGACCAGTGATCTAAACGTTGTGTCGCCGATAAGGGAAGTGTGATCACAACTGCATCATTGTAATGCACCGCGAGCGCATCGTCCTCCCACCGAAACTCAAACGTATGAAAGTCAGTCGTTGCCGATGTCATCCAGCTTGCTTGTGGGACTCCAACACGCTCACCATTTAACAATCGAACAGACATCTGTCCAGAATGACTGAAGGGATCCTTGAGAATCATGCAGGTGCTCCTTGTCGGAGTGCTGCGATGGTTGGGACCACGTCGAATCGCCATCACCAAGTACTTTGTGTACTGTGGCAGACCACATCGAAGTTTCACGGATTTGTATGTTTGACACTCAGACCTCCAGTACGTAATTGCCGTCCGTCTCTCGATCAAGCATGGTACATATTCGCCATCGCCGCGAAGCCAGAGTTTATCACCCAGGGCAGTGAAAATATGCAAGAGCGCATGTGGACAATACACGCGCTTGGCGCTTGTCTGCCAAGCTTCCCGAAGACCATGAAAAAATGTACTGGCACGAAAAACCGGGCTCGGCAAGGATTTAAACTCAATCCGTTCATCCAGCCAGACTTGTTTGTGTTGCACAGCTGTTCGCAGCGCATCGCTGCACGCAGACAGGCGGAGTAGGTCTGCCATACCCTCCAGCCAGGGAGCTGCACGCGACAGTGTGTCTGTCCAATCTGAAGCTCCACCTTGTAGATCTGCAATCGCGCTTGATCCGCCTTGTGCGTCGTAGCAGTCAAACACCCAAGATAGGCACGGTGACCAATCTAGACTCTCTTGTACAAAAGATGTGGATGGCAACCTGTGCTGCGTGTGTAAACTGCCCATGTTCCAGCGGTAAACATCCAAGCAAGTATCCGTCCATGCAGATCTGGAAAGTGCATTGTCCCCATTGAACGTGTAGTTGTCGATCAGATTCCATGGGCCTCCAAGGCATGCGACATGTGCGTGTCGCTGCTTCCCGGTCCCGTCGACTGTGGCTCATGGAACACAGTACCACCTCGCCCTGTAAATTGCCAAGTTCGCACCAGCATCTCTCCATATTGGAGCCTACAGAGATGATGCATCTTTCTGGCATATCTGCTGCGCAGAGGTTGAAACGAAGAGGTCCCAGAACTGATCCGGCTGTGCGCCATATCGTCATGCTTGTTTCAGCTAGCAGCATTGTGCGACGTGCACTTGGCCACTCCACTGTAAGGAAGCGGGAAGACCGCAGTGCTCGACTCAGCTCAGAGCCACCGCGGAACCAGTCCCCCCGCACGGCCTGGGAGTTGATGAGTCCAGGGCTGCTTCCTGTCCACGTCACCGAATCTGTGACCAGACGATGAGCCGCTGTGCTTGTTTGATCGAATCGGGCCAGTGATGTCAAGTCTCCAAGTATTGTGACCACATCGACGTGATTCGGCAAGTCTTGCCACGCCCCACCCAGCACATCTCCGCCAGAAGTGCCGCCAACCGCCGCGTCCTGCGACAATCACAACGGTAGAGGTTTCATGAGTTTCCGCTACCTACTATTTTGTCTGACTCGATATCAGTACATCCTAATCTCCTTTCCTCCGTATTTGCTTAGCATGTATGATATCATGTAAGAGCCAAGACTAGAAAGCCGCTTATGATAAGGACGGATACTGCAAGTTTTCCAGCCACGGCCCCAAGTCAAGCCGGTCCTCTATGGCAAAGAAGCCCGTGCATAAGCGTGGGTTCAGAAACCATCCATGTTCAGCTGAGTAAGACACCGGGTTTTCAATATCATCGACCTGGACTGCTTCCCAATTGTGCGTTCTATTCGTGTGGTTCAGCTGAAGACAGCCATCTTGCTTTCGCAAAGCCATGAAGTGTGCATCAGCCGCCACCAGAAACTTCGCGTCCCGTGATCGGACAATGTGCTGCCAGTCCGTGCGGCGGATGATTTTCCTCAACAGACCCAAGCACGCGGAACACTCGTTCTGCTGCGCACAATTCGGTGCATCTTATCTAAGTGCAGTCAAGCTGCCCCAGTGGGTTCACGAACCTGTTGCCGTCTCGCATGGCCCAAAAGGGCCCATCCGCTGCATACTCGCATTTGTGGCCGTGGCCCCGTAGTGCATCGATGAGGCACACGTCCAAGTACTTCTCCCGCTTGCCTCAGTAGTCGGAAACATTGCCGCGTATTCGATCGCTTGGCTACATTTACATGTTACTCTGACGTCGAGACGCTTGGGGGGCAGTCACGCGCATGAGCCTTCTGACGCAATGCCATTCCTGCAGAGGCATGGATCTGCCGACTCAGATGTGCTTGTCTGGCGAGTGCTGAGCAGTCTGCCTGATCGCTGATGTCTGCGACTGCAGCGACGTGCCCACATATGTCGCGGGATCAACTTCCAGTCAACATTCGCCTGTAACAGCATGGACGTTCATATGTCAAGCATCTCGTGGTGTTGTTTTATAGACAGCACCTTACCCAAGGCCTTAGCCACAGGCCGCTTCGATGTGCTGGGCCATGGAGCGAGTATCCTTTGTTGTTGCAATCTAGCACGACACATGGTAACATGCGATCGTGCATATAAACCGACCGTGAAGCACACGAACCTGTGGCAGATGTTGCTTCATTCTTCGCCAAGTCACTCAAATGGATCCACGTAGTTCTCGGAGGCGTCGCGGTTCCTCGAATGATATTAGAAGTACACATAGTTACAAACTCGGTCTCATACGTTCGAGCGATGGACATGTGCATCCACTTCAGATTGTCACGAACGAGCGCATCTGCAAGAGGTGCAAAGATACGCCAGTCCGACCTCGCTTACACATTCCGATCGAGTTCAAATGTATATCTGCTCGTGTGTTTCCGGAACATATGCTCTAGAAGTCAAGGTCGGCACGCGGTGACACCATGCCTCACCGAGATCACATGATCATATTCGACAACGAACATGCATGCTGAGTCGCCAACTCTCGGTCGATGAGATTTTGGACTCCATAGACAGGACTGAAGTGATAAAACTTCTGCCTCAGTATCCGGAATCCAATCGTTTCAGTATTGATTTAAACACGTAACTAAGAAGTCATCTTGCGCCCATTCACATGAGCATATTCGACAACGAACACGCATGCTGAGTCGCCAACTCTCGGTCGATGAGATTTTGGACTCCATAGACAGGAATGAAGTGGTAAAACTCCTGCCTCAGTACCCAGAAGTCAAGCGTTTCAGTCTTGCCTTGCACACATAACCAAGATGTCATCCTGCGCCCATCACTCACTGACAGGCGTGCTCCATCTGGATCAGCCGCTGGATGGTATGTCCTGGATCCGGAACGTCCACGGCAAACCTTGGAATTCATATATTTCCGTACTTGTGACAATGTACTAGCTTACCGTGTTGGTATGGACCCTATTGCCTTCTGTCCGTATCAAAGTTGCGCAATGCCTGATTGCTGCTCTCCAGCCTTCGACTTCTCTGCCGCAGCCGCTTCGACAATGCCCGTCTCAGCTATCGATAAACAGAAAAGATCTGTCCCCGCCGCACGTGCTCTCAAGTGTGAACATCCTCCATAGTCTCGTACGCTCGATCAAAGTTCCTGGCCCACAGATATCGACCCTGGCGGAAGCTGCGTTGGGCGGACACCTGCATCCAAGGACAGCTTCCTATTTAGCGGGCCAGTGCACTCCTCACATGACTGAGAGCTCCGCATCTTCGCCTCCAACCTTACCATGCAGAAGGTCATCCATGCTAGCTCTTACAGCGGTGTTGCTACCACGACAACCACTCGATCACACCGGAGGAGTCCACGTTGTCTTCATCCACCGGCCGCGTTCGTCCAGCATCCCTTGCTACAATGTACAGACACACACACACACTGACCACCTTCCATGTTTGGTCTATTGCCGACATGGTGCAGGCAGGCTTCGGACCTGAAACAATTGCTTCCGGGACATGTCCCTGAACATCTTGTTGCAAACATGGAAAGCAGTCCTCCAGCGACAGAAGTACCCGTTTCCCTGCAAGAGCAACACTGGGATATCAAGGTTTGCGGGTGCCGGGATCTGTTAAGGCCTTGATATTTCGTATCACTGAACCCAATGAGGTGCAGACGTCATAAAAACCACGCGGTCGTCAGCCGCGGCTGCAGGCCTTATCTGTTCGACTCTGTGTAACGCTGCATTGTGCTTCGATCCGATTGAGAAGGTCGCTCCACCCGCTGCCGGCGGCAGTCGTCCAGCGTTGCTGACCTGAAACAGAAGGTATGTGGGAGTTGGAGTCTTGCCCGGGAAATACTCATGGGATTCCCAGTCTTTATACATAACTGTGGCGCCGACGGATCGTCCTTCTCTGGCTTGTCGATCCTGCCATACCACATACTGCCCGTTCGCGCTTCTCTAGCCTACGCAGATATCACGCGACTGCCTCACCCAGCGATTTTGGTACGGCACGAAGACACCTTCGATGATATCCAGAACAAAGTTCATCAATGTGCACATACAAATGGATAGCAGCATACGATCGAGTTGCGCGTCCCAGACGGCTGCACGGTGGGAGGACGGTGTTCCACCCTTGTGTCAGCTTGTTTGTGGATAAGTCTACCATGCCGCAACTTGGGCTTCGTGCGCGTCGTCCGCGAACCACGGGCATGCTGAGAAGCAAATCATGGTCCTGCAGTGTCATGTCGGTGCGGAGTTGTTATGATATTCTTGCAGTATGCAGTCAAGGCACACGAGAATCTGCGTGGAAAGGAAGTGCTGTGTAAGCTTGAGCCAAGAACACTCTATAACGGCAACAGAGCTCACCCTAGTGCAAGCGACAGTGACAGCAGCGAGTTGTCCGCCGGATGGCCGTCCAATACTCCGTTGCAACACGCAGACTTGCACTGACATGACTCTCAGACCTGTCATGTTAAGATAAACGAGCTCGGGCACACCGATCATCTCGCGAAATTGTGATCGTCCGTCCAACCTCGTGCTGTAAGATAGGCCCGACTTACATCGTCGGATCTGCATGCTAGCGTTTCATGCTATAGCTGCTGATCCACTATGTTCTTCATCAAAGAGCACGCCATCTTACAGATCCCATAGAGACAAACTGTTTCTTTTTAGCGCAGGGATCTGTGTAGGTCCCGTCTGCTCCGACCGTTACGAAGCGCTGCGGGGGTTTGCGGCTTGATGTATTAACTACAGAAACCCAACGTGCTCTATCTCTGGCAACTAAAGAGACAGACTGTATGTTGATATATTAGACGCATGAGACCCACGATATTCTTAGGGCCCTCCTGGATCCAGCGTGACCGACCCTATTCGTCGGGTCGGATATGCTCGCTGCTGAGTTTTGTCGTTCTTCTCTAGAGAGCATGTCTGACCCTGGCTGATTTGGGCTACATGTCGAGCCGTCCAAGCTCGGGATTCACGCAGGCAAATGGCGAAAGAACTTGACCTCCCTGCCCTATAAGCCCGCCGAATGGAGGCCATGTAGTTTTTGAAGGGATTCCTTCAGAGTTCCTTCCTGTACATATGTACAGATGATACTACTCTTAAGGACCCCGTACCCTAGTTACGGTCTCGGGTTATCGCCATGCCGTTGGTGTTTGCTATGCTTACATCCATGCGCTTCACTGCTACACGACAGCACCACCCGACCGGCCTGCCACTCCATCTCCGGGCCGGTTCACCTGCCACAAGGCTCTTGTGAGTTCTGGTCCACACTTGCAGAACGTGCTCTGTCCGCCAATCCAAGCAGACGCTCCTTTTATAGATGCCTTCGCATCTAGGACTTACGGGAGTACAGCGCCCAGGCACACACGCCGACGCTGGGTCGGTGCGGCCTCGTGGCGTTTTGAAAACCCCGCCGTAGCTGCTCGCAGGCCTCGCAGTGTCGCGGGTCTTCCTTAGGAAACCCTGGATACAGCTGGCCGCTCGCATCAGGCTTACCCTTGTGATTGGGAGCGGGCTCGCCGGGAGGGATGAAAGGTCTGCGTTCGCGGACTTTTCTTCCCTCCGGCTTGCCCTCTGTACTTGCTGCCTGAGCCGCCTTTGGCGCGCCAGGAGCTCGTCTCCCAGTACCGGGGTTGGGGGTAGGTGGGGGTGGGCTGGTTTTGGGGGGCGGTGTCTTGGCCACCTCCTTCCCCCCTCCTGGCGACTCACCCGAGACCTTCGCCTTGCTGCTTCCGTCCGGTGCCTTGTCTTCCTTCTCGTCCTCACTTGAGCTCCCAGGCAGCACAGGAGAACCAGACGAGAAAGAAGACGACCGACTTTCTTCCATCTCGTCTAACTCCTGCTCCTTCTTCTTTATGGAGACCAGGAGACTCCGCAGTTTTTTATGATCTTCTCGAATGGCGCCTTTCTTCTGCAGATACTTAGCCTTCATGACCCCCAGGCCAAGGCGAACCGATGAGCCAGTCGAAGGCATTGCGAGCAAGGAAATTTCGGATGGCAGGCAAGAGCTCAGGTTCTCGAGCCGACCCAAATTGCGTTATTCCGTCAATCCGCTACCAATGACATCGCGCACGACTGTAGCAGCACTACTAACAACTGATGCATGCAAGCGTCCTCGCCTTCGCGATTGCGATGAAAGGGATCGCAGAGTCGGCAGCGTATCCTGACGGGAATGCCGGACATGTGTTTCGAAGCGCTTGTTCGGAGAATCTTTGGTTCATAACTCAGTGTGCAGCATCGCATGAATGTTGTAGCATGTTGCGTGTAACAAGTCACGACAAGGCTGTTAGAGGTAACAAAGCCCCCGTAAGTACTGTACAATATTGTGCTGGAGGGTGTGATGAAGATGATGAAGATGATGAAGATGATGAAGATGATGAAGAGGATGAAGATGATGAAGATGATGAAGATGATGAAGATGATGAAGCTGATGAAGATAATGAAGATGATGAAGATGATGAAGATGATGAAGATGATGAAGATGATGAAGATGATGAGGATGATGAAGATGATGAAGATGAAGAAGATGATGAAGATGATGAAGATGAAGAAGATGATGGAGATGAAGAAGATGATGAAGATGAAGAAGATGAAGAAGATGATGAAGATGATGAAGATGATGAAGATGATAAAGATGATTTAAATAATTTAAATCCTGAAGGGGAGGGGTCCCCGGGGGTCCAGGGCCCCGGGAATTAAATAATTTAAATAATTTAAATCCGGAGCCCTTCCCCAGGATTTAAATTATTTAAATTATTTAAATCCTGGGGCCCGGGGCCCCCGGGAACCCCCCCGGCCAGGATTTAAATTATTTAAATTATTTAAATGGGGCCGGGAATT